AATACGTTTATTCAATCATATTCTCTCTTTTTCTCTTTTTAACTCTTGCTTCCAGATGTAGTGCGTCCTGGGTATGACGATAAACTACATCCGTGTCCTGGGTATGACGATAAACTACATCCGCGTCCCGGGTATGATGATAAACTACATCCACATCCTGGGTAAGACGATAAACTACATCATAATAGCAAGGCCTCTGATTGGGAGGTTTTGAGGAGCGTGGAACCACCTCTTAATTGCTTATGCTCCCAGGACCACACTGACCCAGGGTGGTAGCACCTGTTAGGGTCCCAACTATGGGTAAATAGTTGACTCTCCCAAACTAGGACCAAAACACTATGAAAGTGTAAAAATAGGTTTTAATACCCGCAATTTTTTTTATAAAAATTATTACTAGCAATGAAGTTTTGAAGGAAAAAATTATTACCAGCGATATATTTTTTTTGGAAAATATTACCAGCAATACATTATTGGAAAAATTATTACCAGCAATAAAAAATCTTGTCGGCATTAAATAACCCATTGAGGTTGATATGCCGTAAAACAAACCAAACCAAACCAAACTAAACCAAATCAGATGTAGTCGAATGTAGACAAAGAAGGCTGCCGGTGAGGCATGTTCACTTCCTTGGTCCTCTGTTGACTTTTGAACTCTCTCCCACACGCACATACACACACTCTTATTTCTCACGCACAAGCAAGCACATTCTTATAATTACTTACAATGTCTTTTCCTTTCATTACAGTTATGTACACATGTAATTCATTTTGATAATATCATGCATTTGTCGTTTGTTTTAAATTCCATGTTTTGTGTTTCTTATTTTACCCGGACTCACATGAGTCCGCCAATATTGTTTGCGGGACAAATTTTCCTGGAGCCCATAAATTTAATATAAAATGTCTATACACCTAGCAAACTGTTATGGTCCAAGTTTCTTGTACCACGGTGATGGTTCAAGGTTAGAAACAATGAAAAAAAAAACACGAACACATGTATGGAATACAAAGATATATTACAACAGAAATATAATACAAAGAAGTAGAAGTATTAGTAATGACTATCAGATTTGATTAGAGTGAACTATGTTGTCTCGACAAGTATCACTATTCCAATGTCCTTACAATATGCTCTCAATTATCTCTCCTCGTCTTACAATTTCCTCATACCTCTTGAGAGGCGCAGTATTTATAATGTCATGAATAGTTCATTATTATTATGGGTAAGTTCACATAACACAAACAAAGTGGTGAATCACGCAACCCTTTGTTTAAAAGTTACCTCCCTCTTATATCGATATTCTTATCGTTTATGCTTTCAGCTACTTTGAGTAACGTTTTTAATTCAGGGTGATTTGTGATGAGATTCTTATCTTGTAGCTGTAAGGTTTGTTTGCATAATATTTACATCTCTGCTTTTTGATATTGTTGTCAAAGGCAGTGGAGGCACGGTGGAAGAATAGATGGCGTTTCGGATTAAGGAATCAGCAGAGTTCGAATTCCAGTCGAGTCCATGCCTGCTGGAAGAGCCTATGTCTGGCAACAGGACTCTGCACCATATCACACAAGCTGGAGAACCCAGTTATAATTATGAGACAATTTCTGCGACCACACTTCTTATATCTGGCCACCCAAGTTGCCAGACTGCGGCCCCTTTGATTATTATGTGTGGGGCGGAGTGAAGCGAGAGACGAAAAAAAAAACTCCTTGTAATACCAAAGATGAACTGAAGGCAAGCATTATAGCAGTATTCACCAGCTTAATCAAGGAGACTGTCCAGAAGAGATGCAGGAGATTCCAAAGCCGTCTGGAGCTTGAAGTCAATGGCGATTTTATTGAATAAATTTACTCTTTAGTATTTCAAAATATTTTTGTGAAATTTTGGTAAATATATCTCTTAACATGAGATGTCAGTGTTATTTTTATTATTACGTAATTTAGACGACAATTTATTCATCGCACCCTGTATACATAATTCTGTATTTGTGCAGCAATCCCTCTTGTTACGGTCACTACTCGCTCATATTATCCCCTGCGGGGACAAGGAGCAATGGCAACCAATATTTTCACACGTGAATAACGAGATGGTCACCAGTTCAGATAGGTAAAAGGAAATGAAATATAATTCAAGGTGAATATATTTTACTGTACTTTTATATAATTGATAAATGATTAACAGAAGAGAGAGAATATACTCATGTGTACACGGCTGAAAAGTGAAGAAAAGAAAAGAAAAAGAGAAGAAAATAAAAGAAAAGTAAATGAAAGGGAAAAAGAAAGGAAAAGAAAAGAAAGGAAAGGAAAAGAAAAGTAAAAGAAAAGTAAAGGAAAGGCAAAGAAAGGAAAGGTAGAGAAAGGAAAGAAAAAGAAAAGGAAAAGAAAGGAAAGGAAAAAGAAAAGGAAACATATCTCTAGACAATTAGGAATTGCGCGCGCGCGCGTGTGTCTGTGTGTGTGTGTGTGAAATTCTGCCTTCAGTCGCCAGAGAAAAGATATCCACTGTGGGGACAAGGAACGTATCGACCCTGCTAAACCTTGAAGCAACAAAAACACAAAAAAGTAAGCGGAAAAGGAAGGAATATATTAGTCCATTTGTAGTAATTAAACAACGCCACCTAACGGTAATCCCCACACTCTTTAATATATGTTTCATTGAATAAAACTGACAAGTTAATGTTGTTTAGTCTTTTATTATATTTTGCTTGCAGGCGTTCAAATGTTTTCTTTTCTTGACTTAATAAGTACAGAAATTGTCCAAAGGTTTGATGATCCAGAGCCTTTGGCTAATCTATAGTCTCTTTTCAAGGACCTTTTGTTATACTACTCTCATAAATGGTGTGTAAGAGCGATTGTAATTGGAATAAAAGTTGTTTAAAGTAGACATATTCTTAATTACTAAATATTACCAGTATCTTGTGACCGTCTTTATCATTGATTTGTTAAAGGTTTATATATATATATATATATATATATATATATATATATATATATATATATATATTGTTAAATATAACTGACAATGAATGTCTATTATGGTTGATCATGTACTTTAAACTGCTAAAATAAGAAATAGTTTGTTGTATGTATGTTTTATAATTTTTTATTTTATTTTTAAAAACATGGTCAAGATGTAATTGTAGCCTTATTAATAAAAACAAAAAGACCAACACTTAATAATATCAACTTTGAACATGGACACAATATCTTGACCGTGTTTGGAAAAATGAAAACACTTTATAGAACATACGTACAACAAACTATTTCTTAACAATTAAAATATAATCCTTGAAAATGGCTAAATGTATATCCGAAAGCGCTGGGATAAAAAGAACATTCGGACAGTTTTTATATGATTTATCATCCGAAAAGAAAAAACTTATTAGATTGCATGAGAAATTGTATAAAAACTACATAAAATCATCTTGTCTGTCTTTTTCAATGAAATGTGCATGAAAGAAGGATTGTTGCCTAAATACACAAATATATATATATATATATATATATATATATATATATATATATATATATATATATATATGGTGAGATGTTGAGTGTTTCCCGGTGCGTGTATTGAAATAAGGACAAACACATACGTAAGGAAAAATGTATATATATATATATATATATATATATATATATATATGTATTTTGAACAATAAAAAATATTAAAAATTAAAATCTTCAGACACACTGGGTTGTATATTAATATTCCTTCATTTTTATTATTATTTCATTTAGATTCCTCGACTAGTTTTAGCCAACATGGCCATCATCAGGAGATGGGTTTATATATATATATATATATATATATATATATATATATATATGTGTGTGTGTGTGTGTGTGTGTGTGTGTGTGTGTGTGTGTGTGTGTGTGTGTGTGTGTGTGTGTGATCGGGTTGAATCAGACCAGGAAGCAATAGTATTAAAAAGTGCTCAATACATGTGTGAAAAAATAAAATAAAATGAAAGTAAAATGAACATGTATAGCTTTTAACTTTAAAAATCAGGAGGTCATTTAAATCCGCTGCCTTGGTTTCAACCTTACGGTATCTTCAGGCGATTTTTATCAAGTAACCTCTTGACGCTTTATTTTTATAAAAAAAATAATGAACGCTGTATTATTAATTAAAAAATAATAATAAAACGCACGACGTTGGGTGTAATAGAAAGGAAGGACGAGGATGTGATGAAGAAGAAGAAGAAGTAGAAGAAGAAACGTTATCTCCTTAGGTAGCAATCATGTCGGAATTAATGTCTTCGGGGCGAAACCCTATTATCTACATGTACTTGATAACGCCACGATACCAAATTGTGCCCATTTTCAAGAGAGATCGCTACATTTGAAATATTCTTCGAACAGCCAGATGTCAGTTTACCTGGAAAGAATCAATACAAGAAAAAGAACTGAAATTAATGCATACAAGAATTTCACAGCACTTTTATAGTCAGAACTGAAGAACTTTTCAGCCCATCCTCGTAACCTGACGTCATATGTAATAGCTATTGAGGTTGCACAAAATAATGCGATTTATTTATTTTATATTTAATACTAATATAATATATGCATATCATAAGCACTTCTAGTTACCATCTTTGTGGTAAATAATATTATATTTCATGTGAGGTGTTTATTTTTTATAATAATAACTTCTAGGGTCTTTCCTTGCACTGGGTGCCCTGGAGTATTTTAGTATTATCCATTAATGCTTGCCTTATGATGATAGATATATTTTTGTCGTTCACAGTGTACTGGACGATGTGTGCATGGGTTGCACTGAGTTTCGACAGGTGACAAATTAAAAAGACCGACAATGTATGACTATTTATTTTTATTGTATTTTTCCAATATTTAAATAAGGTGTTGTGTATTGTGATCAAAACTGTGGATAAACATTCCGAATTTCATATTGTGCTATTGCTTGGTTCAACTACTTTCGACTGGTTCTTGAAAATGATCGAGACTGTCTAAAATACATGAACAAAACAACATGAAAACAATCAACCTATCCTGTCAGAAGTAATAGATAGATAGATAGATAGATAGATAGATAGATAGATAGACAGACATTGTATAGTTACTGGCAATATCGTAGTGGGGGCTTTTATAAATATACACAATGTGAAGAGTCAATAATGTGTCGATTTCTATGTCCATCCTGTCTATACGTAACAATTTCTCTCTGTGTCTTACACACACACACACACACACACACACACACACACATATATATATATATATATATATATATATATATATATATATATATGTACTCGCTTGGAAAAACCTTAGGTACTTCTTCGGCTTGTAGCTGAACAAACCAATACCCAAGGAAAAATGAGGAATAAAAAAAGAAAGAACCAAGAACATGAAACAAAGGCGAAAACAATCGTCCAGAATTTCAAGCTCAAAAGTCCAAAGTAAAAAGCCTCCAAAACGAGTAAAGGCGACCACGTAAAGTGCTCAATACACGAAGTAGAGCAAACTTAAGATAATCCTAAGGAGCCAGGCAAACCTACCGAGGTTTCACCTAAACGGATCGTCAGGGTACATATTCTTTCGAACAGTAAGTGCTGGTGGTATTAAAAT